TTCAAGAGAACCAACATTTTCTATAACATCTGTTTAGATAATTAGTTTTCAACACTGATAAATCGTCTCTCAGTAAGTGAGAGATAGACCATCCCTCTCCTTCACTTTCTGCAAGCCTTAGATAATGCATTATCAGAAGAGCTGATAGGGCAAAAAATAACTTGTTTGGTTGCAGTGGCAATAAAGAAATACACTTTAACTCTTCATTTTGCCCTGCCAATATCAACTTATCTGCCTTTTTGTAATGGCAGCTAGTGTGCCCCGCCTCCTTTTCTTATTGCTGTCATCTATATACTCAAATTGTCAAATACTCATAAGGAGTAATTTGAAAGGCAAATCTTATGGCATTTCATAGTTTTATTTTCAGAAAGCAGGTTTCCTAAAACCAGTTTTTAAAATATTCAATAAGTTAGTTAAAGCTTTAATTCTCAACTGTCTGTTGCATAATGCCATCTATTGTGTTTGACACAATGCCATTTTCATAGGTAGTTAAGCTGAAACTGGGTTTTGTGCTCCAAAGAATTGTATTACTGTCCAAAAAGTTTTGAATTTTATTTCAATCAATGAATCAGTTAGCCAATTAGTTAGCTACATCGCAAGAGCCATTTATTTATAAATTCCCATCACTACATGCACAATAATCTGTTTATTTTTATTGCTATTATACTCCTTTTTTGTATCTGAGGAATATCATATCAACAGAAATAATCCTGTAATTCTTAATGATAATATAAAAAGAAATATATTGAATTTTAAAAGCAAAGTGCTGACATATTAATTCTGTTTGCAGGATTTTGTAACAAAATCCGAAAGGTTTCCCTTGTTCTTTCATATCCAATTCTAGTGGGTGGTGCTCATGGCTGTTTGTTAGCCGAGGGGGCCAGTGTTATCCAAAGATATTTCCACAGCCATATGGCCAGCATGACTACATGCCAAGACAGACAAACCACTGTTACCTTCCCACTGAAGGGATACCCATTTATCTACTTGCATTTGGTTGCTTTTGAACTGCTAGGTGGGCAAGAGCCAGGCAAGTAATGGGAGCTCACCCCATTGCATAGCACTCAGGTCTGGAACCCCTGGGTTGTTAGCTTTCCAACTAAAAGGCTCAGCATTTTTAAACTCTGAGTCATCATACTTCCCCCCCCCCAAAAAAAACCCCAAACAGTTTAAATTTCTTTAACTGCTGTATGAAATATTCAAATATCAAATAGTGTGTGATCACTTCCTAAGTATTTGATAGTACGTATACATGTATTATACTAAAATGATGGCAGAACTGGAAATTAATATCTCTTCTTTTTCTTGATCCATAGTTTCTTGACTCAGGACCAAGGACAGCTCCAAACAAAATAGCGTACTGTGCAGTACAATCATACATCTATTAAAAAGACAGTTCATTTTTTTTAAAAAAATGCTTTGAAATCCACTATGTTGCTTGATTTTCCAGTCATAAAATTTTTTTCACTAAATTTTATTGTTTTTTGGTCACTTCTGACTCTCATGACCCAGTGCATGTATTTTGCTACAATATCTGACAACCAGTTTGGTGTAGTGGTTAACATGTTGACCTGGAAACCAGGATATTGTGGAACTCTTTCCCCCTTTCTATTTGAACTGAAATGACCATCATCCTTGGCTAGCACGGCCAATGTCATCAGCTTAGAGAATAATGCTGATTCTTTTTTCATAGATGACCACAAGTAGAAACAGACTGCTGATCTAACTGATCTTGGGTTTTGATACAACCACAGTCATTTTGTTTCCATTGTTAATCGGTAATTCCACTTCATTGAGATAATTTGTAGAGCATATAGAATGCATCATATGTATCTCTTGACTTCAGAAAATGTTCTGCACTGAGACTGCAGATGCATAGCTTAACCAAGAGCTGATTCTTTCTAAGCAATTGGGAGCCTTGTATTTTTTGGAATTCTTATAATCTAAGAAAAAGGAATATTGTCTCTATATACATGCTCACTGTAGCTCTTTGATGATGTAGATGGAGACTGAGTGAGACTCCTCAAATCAACCAATGTCAGCATACTTACCATGTCACTATCTCCTGGAATTGAAGTTGGTAATAACATTGTAGGAAGAACTGATGAGATTTGGGCAGCAGCTCCACTTTGGTTAGCTGCAGCCATTGTTGGAACAGTGAGCAAATCAGTTACTAATTCAAGAGTTTCGTGTATTAGTTTCCATGGTACCTGACCATGGAGATAAACAATATATGAATCGTGAGAGATGCTCTTCAATGCATGTGATAAATGGCTTAATGTCAAGCCACACTGATTGGAATTGTTTAATAATGTCATTGGGCCTGGCCCAAAGTTGGCAACAATCAATATTAGTATAGATGGAACCAACAGTGCCAATTGATTTCTTCCAAGAAGTCTATTTTCTCGTCACTTCTTTTTCCTACCAGGTTTTTTTTTATTTATGTAAAACAGAAGAGTTCAATTTTATGCTTATTAGTGGTCCTGAAAGCAGCATCTCATGCCCCTTGGTGGGTTTAAGCATCTCTGCTCAATTTGCATACAGAAGTCCATTTGTTTGGGATGGCTTTTATTACTGCTGCAGAGTATTAGCCATACAAGAGAATACTCTTCTTAGTGTTCCTCATTCAAAGTAACTTTTACAAAAATTGACAGCTATTATATGTTCTTATTTGCAATTACTCCTAAAATAAGGAATGCAATCCACAGTAAAATAAGTTGGGTATTTGGGTGTGTGTGTGTGTTTGCAACCTTGAGAGAAGACTATGATGAGGCATTCCTTCTCATAAAAGGAACCAGAAATGGCAGAAAAAATAGAGGCCAGAGGAAAGGATAAGTAGCAACTTTCCCTTCTGTGCATAGGAAGCATTAATTCAACAGGGTTCACTAAGGTTCAGTTAGTAATACAAGTCATTGTGAACATCAGTAATGATGTTCTCATTAAAACTACATAGGAATGAAATAAATAAGGTGGAACCAAAAGGGATAAACCAGCTTGGTTTGTGAAATAACTCAGAAGAGATTTTGGCTGCTTGGTATCTCCTAATAATTATGGAAGGAGAGAGAAAAAAGCAGATTTCCTCAGTTTTGTCTCTAATTTTATCCTTAATTTCTTTGATATTTTTCTTCCTTTTAGTAAACCAGTACATTGTTTCCAATGATTTTCTGCATAAAGGAATCACTTGGCCATTGCATATTGGGTGATTTTATTTTATTTTAATTTTTCCTAGTTGTTGAGCAGATTGTATGGTATAGAAATGCCTCTCGCCACACAACTGGAGAAAGGATAAAATCAGCTAAATAAAGTGTCCGTGGTGTTTTCTTGAAAGACACGTTTAAATCCCAGCAATTATGGGCTTATGTATAACCTATTGTTGTATGCAAAATAAGCAGTAAAGAATGAAAAGGCATTATTAAGAAGATTTGGGATTCCTTTAAAGAGAAATCACTTTGAATAGATTTTCCCCAAATTAGTTTAAGATACTTTTTAACTTTATTGCTCAAGAAATCAACCCTATTCCATACACAATTACATTTATACCAGAAAGAACTAAATCTCAGAAACATGAAGAACTCCTACTGAATCCACAGATTAAATAGATAGGAAGCATCTGGCAGAAAACACATTTTTGTCTCAGTACTTGGAGACAAATCTGCAGACATCAGAGACTAGCAGAGTAAAATCCACAGGGACTCCTATAGCGTTACTTAAACTTGAATTTAGTTCAAAATTTGCTTTGGAAAGATAAGCATATGCTTTTAGAAGCTGATAATTCTGATGTAGAACCATTTTTATGATGATACCTATATATTTTATTATCTAGAAAGGTTTATCTAGAAAATGTGAGGTTTTTTCAACTTAGGTTTTAAAGCAAGTTTCCATAAATACTATATTTGAATTAAACACTACATTTTTTTTCAGTGTTCCTCCATGGGCCTTTTCTTTTAAAGAAATTTTAGCTAAAAGGGATACAAAGCAACCAATTAGATTGGTTCTAATTTTTGCTTTATGATCTTGCATTATAAGCCATCTGGCAAGTCCTGATACATCCAGTTCTTATAAATGATGGCACGCATGTGCTTCGATCCGTGATTTTTATTTTTAGCTTTCACAACCTAGTTCTATTTTTTGCTAACTGAAGGGTTGTTAAGGGGAAATTGTGGGAGGACAGAAGAGCAAGCAGCTGGAGAAGGTAAGCAGGAGTTGTACAAAGCGGGGTGGGGTGGGGCAGGTGATGCATACAGGTGTAAAAAGGTGTGATGCTATTTTGAGTAAAATGAAATATGTATTTCATATAGTTAATACAAAATGAAGCAGAACTATTTTGATGACACCGCTTGCTGTCTACTGCATCCCCTTGTGATCAGGAAAGGGAATTATCTAAAATAACCAGAAAAGAAGGCACAACAGCTTAACTGGCAAAAATGACACTGTCAATAAAAATACAATTGTGTAAAATGAAATACAACACTCAAACTATTATTTCTTTGTTCCCTTCCCTTTGGAAAACAACCATCAGCTCTGAAGCAAGCAGTGCTTTGCCTTCTCTCCAATAAATCAAACTTAATTGCAGGAAATACGACTTCAGCAACAGAGTGGTCAATGTCTGGAATACTCTACCTGAATCTATGGTTTCTTCCCCAAACCCCCAAAACTTCAACCTTAGACTTTCTACTGTTGACCTCACCCCTTTCCTAAGAGGTCTGTAGGGGGCGTGCATACGTGCACCAACATGCCTACTTTCCTTGTCCTATTGTTTCTTTTATTTTTTTTATACGTATCCTATCCATGTATTCATAACTATTTTAAATAAAAGGCCCATGGAGGAACACTGAAAAAAATGTAGTGTTTAATTCAAATATAGTATTTATGGAAACTTGCCTTAAAACCTAAGTTGAAAAAACCTCACATTTTCTAGATAAACCTTTACTATACCTATTATCTTGTAAGCAATTTACAAACCAAATAAATAAAAAATAAAAATAAAGATGGTGGGCTTATAGCTGTAGAAGACTTGGAAGAAGCCGACTATCGGAATCATTTTAAGTTGGGTTTCAGGTTGAGTAATAGTACTGTGATAGCATTAATCACACTGATTGATGATCTTTAAGGGGTTTGAAGTGGAAGAATTGCATTCATTCTGGCCCTTTTGATCTTTCGGTGTCTTTGGTTTTTCTGATCATAGTATCCTTCTGGATCAGCTTAAGGAGTTGAGACAGTATGGAAGGAGCTTTAGTGATTCTCCTCTCTTCTTCAACTCTGGCTTCAGTCACTGGCGTGAGTAAGGTCCAACTCTAGATACTCTGCAAAGCAGGATGACTCAGAGCTCAACTTTTTCCCTATTCCTATTTAACATATATATATATATATATATATAAAACTGTTGAGTGATTTATCCATAACCACATGTTTAAATATCATCAGTATATGATACCCAGCTATATATCTCTATAATGAAGTGATACCATCAAAATATTTCCCTGTGTCTGAAATCTGTAAGAATCTGGGTCCTAAACTGGAACAAGACTGAATGGCTGTGCTTTTAGAAACTCCCCTGGATCTGATGATTCTTCATTTTTAGTTCTGGATGACAGTACTTTTGCTTAGACAGAACATATTGCAATTTGGAGTACTTGCAACTCCTGCTTGAGAAGCAGGAAGTAACTGTGGCTAGGAGAGTCTCTGCCTCAATCCATGTTGTACACCGATTGTGCCCATTCCTGGAATTCAAAGGTTCTGCTCCTGGTTGTTCATCCTGATTGAACTATTGTAATGATACTCTTTCTCTGCTTCTAAGGGGCCCAAGCTACTTATAAAACAACAGTTAAAGTAAAGACAACCAGGAATAATTTGTTTTGGATTTCAATTATGTGAACCAACTCTAGAATTTAAGATCTTGACATGCACATACAGCAGGCGAACTATCACAGCAGAATTTACACATTCAGGGATGATATTCATTGCTTTTCTTCATGTGTTTTTTCTCCCTCTTTTATCAAGCTAATTGATGTCTGCTAAATGCAATTGCCTTTCCATAGCCATCTAAGCTAAAGCCAATCGAACCATGTTATATATATGCTTCTATATAGGCTACTTCTGCACTGCACAATTTTTTTTCAGGACAAATGGCCTCGTTGGCTGTTGAATGAGATGATACAGCTGTGTATCCAACCAAATTAATTGACTTAAGGTGATTGCTCTTCAGTCATATATTTCATAATTTTCTCTTTCAGATCCCCTAAAAATTGCTGTTTGGTGACAACTTTGGAAGAGAAGAGAGTTGGGGAGGTCACCTTTGAGGAACAATATATAGTTTAAAAACCTGGTTTTGTTCCTCAGGGTAATAGCAGTTTTAGTTCTGTGCATATATTGGGGATTGAAGTGTGTTGGCGGAGGAATAAAGATTTGAATGACTACATGACAGGCTGAATTTCTAATATTTTTATGGTTAGTTATGGGATGTAATCTTAGGATGATACCTTTGGTGGCAGCAGAATATAATTGATCCTCTCTTTTCAGTTTTTCTAAATTAAGCAAGCTGACCAACACAAACCATTGAATCTTACTTGCCTGTCAGGATATTCTTTTATAGGTATGTGTTACACAACAAAAAAAACATTGTACTGTTGGAGAGTTTTAAGTTTGTTTTTTTTCCTGCAACACAGATCTTGCATAAACTTATTTCACTGAGAATTTTAACAAGATCGTGTACAGACTCAGATTCCTAACAGCAGAGTGCACTCTACTACAAGAAAACACAGTGACGACAAACATTTTCTGGCTCTTGTTATGTTCAGAATAATTTCTTTCAAACAAGAGTCCTGTTATGGAAAGTAGCAATATTGGATGCAGAGAGTCGTAAATTACGATTCTTGTTAGATTGCTTTCTGACTAGTGAGCAAATATGTGCATGGCTAAAATAATGCAGGGGAAGGGACAAGCATCCTTGAGGAGCTCCTGAGTCATATAGAAGACCCACAATTGCAGCAGAGGACTTGATCTTGCTGGGTGAGGAAGTTCTTTCCCACCAGGGAGCAGGCACATCGGCTGCACTTGAAGCAGTCGCTGTGCCATTGGTGATCTTCATACAAGATGAACTTGCCTCCTCCAAGAGCTAAAAGGAGAAAGCAACAAGATGAGATGTTGGGATTGCATCAGAGGTGGTATTCAGCAGGTTCTGACCAGTTCTGGAGAACCGGTAGGAGAAATTTTGAGTAGTTCAGAGAACTGGCAAAAACAACCTCTGACTGGAGATTTTACAGTATCCTTCCCCTGCCACACCCACTAAGCCACGCCCATAGAACCGGTAGTAAAAAATTTTGAATCCCATCACTGGATTGCATGCGGCAGATTTTGCTTACACTCTGATAAGCAGAGTTCTTTCTTCTGAAAAATCTGAGTTTAAAATGTGAGAGGAGTGATTTATAGCTAAGACAAATAGTCTAGGTTTTTATTTGTTTTTGTTTTGCTGTTTTGGTCTTCTGGCTTGCAAACATATGATCTAACCCTGAATTACTATGTTCTCAAGCACCTGGTTATTTCATTTTTTTTTTCTCTTGAGGGGCACAGATTCTGAAAAAAGGAATGATTTTTAGGCATTTTGCCACAAACGCCCCACATTCACAGGCAAAAGCTCACTTGCTATCTCAGCAATGCCTCCCATGCACTGACATGATAAATGGCTGAAACTGGTTAAATGAAGCACAGCTAACCACAGCCACTCCCTCCCTCCTCCAATTAAAAACAGCAACACTTTTTTTTTTCTTTCCCCTTTCTTTCTTTTCTGCTCTTCCTTCAGTGAGTAATTCAGTCAAATGTGCTCATCCCTTTCCACTCCAAATTCCAGCCTTTCGCCAATTAAACCTACAATGTTGTGGTGTCAGATACAATGAAAAGATTAAAATTCTGTTTTCTAGTGCCACCACATGTTTCAGATCACTTTCTATCCAATATCGTAATGGTGGGAAATTGTCCACGATGGAAACTTGTGACACTGCTATTTGATCGTATATGCTTTCATGATGTAAGGAATGTAAATGCCAGCTATGCCTAGAACAAATGTATTTGTCCCAGGACTGTCAAAATTGAAGTTGCTTATGTAAGTAAGAAGATTGTGAACAGTCACCAGTAATGGGTTCGGTGCAGGCCACACACTTCTTTGCAAAATGTCCACTGAAGCACTCCAGGCAGAAAGGATGTTCATCTTTGGACATGAATCGGTGTTCTGCAAGTTGCTTCTTACATCCAGTACATAGAAAACATTCCTTATGCCATGGCTGGTCATGGTAAGTCACCCCACCATTGGTGACCACCTAGTACAAGAGAAAATATCATTAGTGTAAAATGATGGATTGACATATGGCTGTACCATATTAAAAAATAATTACTGCCCCTTAATTAAAGTTTTTCAAAAAGAGATAATGAGAGTATTGAGGAAAGCACTACAGCAGTCCTTGTACAATGACCGCCTTGTTTGGAATCCATTTGTAGTTACAAACAGAATGAAAATGTAACTTTGCAACATTTCTTGCATGTATGATTTCTCAGGTTTGTAAAGCAAAGAAAAGCTGAAGTAAGCTCATAAGGACAATTGTGGTTTCACTTAGCAACTGCTCTGCTTAATAACTAAGTTGCCAGTTGTTCACAACTGCTAATTGGGGTTGCTAAATAAGGACTATCTGTATCACAGTGTCTGAAGAACTAAGCATTTTTAAAATTAATATCTTTCTTTTCCTTCACTTTAGGGCAGTGCTGAGGAAGCAACGATGCTCCCCAGGTGTTGATAAATTATACTGTAGCAGCTTCAACCAGTAATAGGACATTGTGAGAGATGCTACCACTATTATCACTTTATTATTACTTTTATTGTCAGAGTACAACATGTGTACAATGAGATTGCCTGAGCCTCCCTTCATGCACCCCCCAAGACAACTCACAGTGAGGACAGAGGTCCCTAACCCAGTCCCAATGTTATTACACTATGTGACCTTGTTGCACAATGTGCCGGCCCCACAAGTCTATCATACTATGTTGACATGAAGTTATTTTCTATTCAGAAGTCTGACAGCCCATGGGTAGCAGCAGTTCAACAAGATCATGGGAGTCTCAGGTTCCCTTTTACTGCTTTAGTGAGATGGATACTTCATCATGAGGAATATCCTATGACTTTTATAGTGCTGTTAGTAGATTTGGATGCTGAAGCCCATGCTATTTTAGCTCATAACTAATTATTTGAAAACATTTGGAACACATCTCAAGAGGCATGAGAACCCAACATACAAATCAAAATAATAGTAAGAATTTGGAACTTCTGCATAAAGCAACAATCTCTTTTAGTTACGTAGTTGCTGATAATGTAATCCACACCTGTGTTTTCTTATTAAAAGGACTTAGGAGGAAGTCTTGATAGACAAAGCAATGATGGGAGGATCAACTCATTAGCTATGGCTATTTTTTACAAGAATGGACCAATTCATTGTGGGACAACTTGCTACGGCCAATCTGCTGCAGAACAACTTGCCATGGCCAACTGGCTGCAGGACAACTTGGAGCAGGAGAGCTTTCTATATTCCCAGGCATTTCAGTTCATATCATGCCAAGACTTGCATTATTTGTCAAGTTCAAATGGTGGTTTTCATTCATTTTATTTGATTTTATTGTGTGAGGTTGTATTCAGATTATCTCTTTGGGTTTCTTTCATTGTAAATCACTTATGGAAGAACATTTATTAAACAAACATAAATATATTTTTAAAATGTGTGCTTCTATATATATATGTATACATATACATATATGTATATGTATATATGTATATGGCATTCAGCTTTGTTCGGGTATTTTCCCACATCATTGTAGTTGTGCTTTTAAAGTTGTAGCAACATTTCGGCAGAATCTCATCTGCCATCATCTCATCATCATCATCATCATCTATACAGAAACCTGATGATGGCAGATGAGATTCTGCCAAAACATTGCTACAACTTTAAAAGCACAACTACAATGACGTGGGAAAATACCCGAACAAAGCTGAATGCCATACATGTAAGTACCCGCGAAAACTTAAGAAAACATAAGAAAACATATATATGTGTGTGTGTGTGTATGTGTGTATGTTCTTATTTTCATTTCCCACACTACCTTTTTGCAGGAGTAGCAATACTGTGCAAATTGCTTCTCATAACAGGGTACACAGTAATTGTCATCATCCTTGGTAATCAAAGGTTTCATTCCTAGTGGTTGCCGGCAATACCGGCAAACAAAGCAAGCTTCGTGCCAACAATTGCCTTTAAATTCCATTTTACGAGAACCTGCAAATTGAATTGTAATCCCAGTTACTTTCCTGGCAAACAGCTCTTACTTTTTTTCAAAATGCACTGAAACAAAGATGCAGTACAGGTAGTCCTCAACTTATGACCACAATAGTTCCCAGCCTGGTATTTTAACTACACCACTCGAGTTTCCAAAGCACCACTATGGTGGTACTTTTTTGCAATTATAATTGTGTGGACACGTGGTCAAATTAATGCTGAGATTTATATGCTGCCAATTTAGACAGAATCATGGCAGCTAACAACACATCCATAGTAAAACAAAAATACAGTAATGACAATTGAAATGTCCCTGGTAGCAATTAAAACTTCCAAATTAATGATAATTTGAAATGTCCATACGATTAGCCCTATTAACACTGTGTGCTAGGGCCATGCACCAGTGACTAATGTCACAATAACAGAATAGATAGTATTTTAAATATATATTTTATCATCAGATAATTGGAACTTTTTTTTTGCAATATCATTGCCTCAAGGAATTGAAAAATCATTGTTTGAAATTGCTATGTGAGGAAAGCAGAGGAAGACAATTAGAGAAAGATAATTAGAATAGTTTTCTTATACATGGAATAATTTGAATATAAGCATAGTGAAATAATGTGTTCCTAACCAGTGAATGAATTAAGTACCTTTTTATCATTGCAAATTGAGCCAGTACAGAATGACTTCATTTTAACTTCAGTACTGTATTACCTGTTTACTATTACCTGTGGCAATACACATTTCCGTGAGTTCTTCATTTTAATCATTTAATGAGAGGAAGAACTGTTGCAGATATGCTAGGAACTGAGAACAGCCTCTATGTTTTATATATCAGTATTCCTAATCTAAATCAACATAAGAAAAGTTAATAATGTGCTTATCACTGACCTGACGGATGGCTGGAACTAGTTAATTGAAGCATGAAGGAGATAAAGCAAAATAATAAAATTCAGCCAAAGAACAACAGTGAATAGATTTAGAGTGTTGTTACAGAAGATGAATTTGCAGATGCTATGCTAGATGGAATTGTGAGCCTACTCAAGCATCTCAATGAGAAAAGTGCAACTACGAAATACAATTATAAATATCAAAAAGCAGGATTTCATCAAGCTGAAGGTCCATTTGCCTTTCCTCTCTTAGTAATCAGAAGTTTCCACTCAAGACTATTCTTGACCAGCAAGTTTTTGATAAGGGTTGTTATAAGAGGTTTTTTTTTTTTTTACAATTACTGGGTTCTTATCTCTGATACTTTGGGAATTTATTGCTTGAAATAGAGTGAGCAAAATTGCCTTTTCTTTATGGACAGAAAGAATGGATTGTAACCAGGGGTGGGATTCAAATTTTTTAACAACCGGTTCTGTGGGCATGGCTTAGTTGGTGGGCGTGGCTTGGTGGTCATGTTATTGGCTGGTGTAGTCAACTCAATATCAGTCACATCGAGGCATGCATCTGCTCTCCTGGCCTGTGGGGATGCTGCAACAGTCATAAGTGTGAAAAATGGTAATAAGTCACTTTTTCCAGTGCCATTGTAACTTTGAATGGTCACTCCACACAAGCAAAGTACCAGCAAAGGAGGGGAAAAAAACTCCAGAGAAGTTCCTGAGACAGGAAGTCTAGTCTTGCCAAGAATGTAATAAGGGTTAACGGAGAGTCAGTTTCTGTAAGCAACACCAGAATGTTTCCTTCCTGCCTTCCTTACAGGATTAGGCCAGTAATTTCTTCTAACAACCAGTTCTCTGATCTGCTTAGAATGTTAACAGCCGGTTCTAGCGAATAGGTGCGAACTGGTAGAATCCCACCCCTGATTGTAACCATTTGGATTAACCACACACACACGCACACACAAACATACACCAAGATTTCAACAAGTAGTGTTTAGTCTTCCAGAGTTCTTTTTATAAGGAAAGGACATCCCATTGACATCAATGGGACAACTCAACTCTAAAATGTAGTTAGTGTGTGAATGTATGTACAGTATATATGCACAGTACATGTGTATATACAGTACATGTGTACATACAGGCTTAAGAATGTGAGAGGGCATTGCAAGAAAGAAACAGTGATACCAGTGGAAAAGAAGACTGGGGAGCATTTACGTGCATGAAGAATAATTTTAATTACAGTTCTATAGGAAGAAAAGGTACTACAAAATTTGATGATTCTGATGTAGTGGAGACTGTATCAGCAGTGTCACATTTTACAGAGGCACCATCAGTCATTTCCCATTATAGTTACCAGTCCCAAATGCTTGAAAGATGAAGAATTATTAATAGGTCATGGGATGGAAAAGAAATAGCTGATATTTAGAGCAGCATATGGTCTGTGCAGGGCACATATAGTGAAGCATTCGCCTGAAAAGGTCCTTGGAAGAAACCTCCCCCCATCTGATTCCCCCCCCATACCAATTTCCATGAATCAATGCCTCCAGGTCATCCCCACCCTTTTCATTTATTTATCCCCATTAAGGAATGCCCATCTCCAGCTTCCTGTTATCTTACCAGGCATAATAGTCCTCTTGCAGTGAAAGCACTTAGATGAATATTCATTAGAATAGCAAGTTGTACACAGCAGGCGCTCGTCTTTAGCTGCAAAGGGCTTCTCAACCAGGGAGTGATGACATTGGGCACACTTGAAGCACGTTTCATGCCAGTGGCAGCCTTTATAAGCAAGATCCTTGGAGAGAGTGAATTCATGTTAGCAAAAAAAGAAAAAAGCATTGGCTACCCAGATCCCAACTGAAACTATGAGCTGTTGGACTTCACACCAATTGTTCAACAAGGACCTGAAAGAAGATAAATTCCATGCCCTTTACTCCTCTTCCCTTTTTCCTCCTTCTTGTGATATTCTCAAGAAGATTACACTTTTACCACGGTCTGGAAAGAAACCAGCAGTTTACTGTACAGGTAGTCCTTGACTTACAACCACAACGGAGCCCAAAGTTTCACTTGTTAAGTGAGCTTTGCCCCATTTTCCTTCCTTGCCACAGGTGTTAAGTTAACTTATCACTGCAATTGATAAGTTAGCAACCCGGTTGTTAAGTGGATCTGGCTTCCCTATTGACTTTGCTTGTCAGAAGGTCACAAAAGGGGATCTCATGATCTTGGGACACAGCAATGGTCATAAATATGAACTGGTTGCCAAGCACCTGAATTTTGACCACATAGTCATGGGGATGCTGCAAAGATCGTAACTGTGAAAAATGGTCGTAAGTCATTTTTTTTCATTGCTGTTGTAACTTTGAATGGTGAACTGTTGTAAGTTGAGGACGACCTGTATATCTTGAGGTTTGTTATGATTTTATGTTTTAAATTAGTACTTTCCAGTGGTGGGATTCAATTTTTTTTTTACTACCGGTTCTGTGGGCATGGCTTGGCGGACATGACTTGATGGGCATGGCAGGGGAAGGATACTGTAAAATCCCCATTCCCTCCCCACTCCTGGGGGAAGGTTACTACAAAATCCCATTCCCTCCCCACCCCACTAATCTGCTTTCCAGCTCCATTCTCCTGTGCAGGGCAACAAAAGAAGACCCAGCCTATCAGCTGGGACTCAAGAGGCAGAGAATAATAGACGGGGGGTGGGGCCAGTTAGCAGTGGTATTTGCCGGTTCTCTGAACTCAGTGGTGAGATGCAATTTTTTTTTTTTTACTACCAGTGCTGTGGTCATGGCAGGGGAAGGATACTGTCAAATCTCCAGTCAGAGGTGGTATTTGTTGGTTCTCCAAACTACTCAAAATTTCTGCTCTTGATTCTCCAGAACTGGTCAGAACCTGCTGAATACCACCTCTGATACTTTCCCTGCAAAGGAGTCATGAAGAACATATGCCTCTGCAGCACAGCTAGAGCAGGACTAAAATATGTACAGTCAGCTGTTAGGCAAAGTGAGGCTTCTGTCTTGAGCAGCAGATGGTTGGTGGCTAAGAGAGGAAGGAAATGGGAGAACAGCCATGATGCAACCATTTAATCTAACCTTCTGCCCTCATTCTGATTCTTTTGTTGTTACACTGCTGAAATAGAGCTGGTCTGGTCAATTTTAATGCAGGAACGTGATAAGACCTTTGTCCTTGCTTCAGAAAGTAAAGTGACTTAGTTCATTTGTTTTTTGGGGGAGTGATAATCTGGAAAACACACACATTTTGGGTGGTTCTACCCTATAGATTCCAGTGGAATCTGCAAAATAATATCATCTTCAACATCATTTGAAAAATGTCTATGGAGACTCACAGTCATCTAATCATTGTTCCAAAAGTGCTTTTTGAAGAGGCAACTGGACTTTCTGGTTTTTCTTTGAAGACATTCTTTGAAAATCGAAATGTCTTCAAAGAAAAACCAGAAAGTCTACCTGCCTCTTGAAAAAGCACTTTTGAGATCCTCTGACAAAATTTGTATGAGGAACATTATTTTTTTAAAAAAAAAGAAATAGAGAAGATCATGGTAGTTATCCAGGGTAGTTCTGATCCAATTTGGCCACTAAGGATTCACAGTAAATTAAGCAATTGCTTTTAGAAACTGGATCAAAATAGAATATAATTTGTGTTTCAGCTACTTTGCTCCTAATGGGCATGGAGTTTGAAAGGTTTCTTCTCCAAAACGTTCTGGAAATTCTAGGGGTTGAACTTCTGTCCTGCAAAATATCACCTAGATCTCTCTTCCTCGCTGTCTGATTGCACTTGATGGTTTTGCAATTGTGATTCATTATGATTTATTCAATTTAGATACCACCTTTTTACTTAGAGGGCTATCAAGGCAGCTGTTCATGGCTAGTGGCTGTCGCCTATGTGCATAGGGGAGACAAAAGGTAAATGTATGTGTATGTGTGTACACATGTGCATTTATGTTTGGAGAGACTCAGTGAAGTTGTTGAAGATGCCTCCCTTCCTTGCTGATTGCTAATAATTAACTATAGGAAGCACAAAGAAGGAAAGAAGGGAGGGAGGGAGAGAGGGAGGAAGAAAGGAAGGAAGGAATTGTTGAAGAATACTTTGAGGAAAGATGAAATTAAAAAAAACCTTCAAATATATGGTTAGTGTATTTAGGCTTGCCCTATTCCTGGAACTGCAAAGTATAAGAGATATATCCAAAAATTAAATTATTGTTTAGCAAATATGGTATTTTTTTTTACCAAAGACATTAATCTTTCTCCCTTTCTCTTGCTTAGATATCATGCTCAGGTTGATGATGTTATAAACATAAAAATGATGAATGTCATTTTATTTTCTAATGAAACTCCCTTTAAATCTCTGCAGTTAAATGGAAACCATTGGCAATACAGAGGAAAAGAAGTCATTTTTCACTAGCTATTTGTCAATGGAATTTATTTTAAAGGTTTGGTTGATCTTATCAATTGAATGAAACCATGCATAGAAAAGAAAATCAATGTCATTATCACTATGGAATAAATTGTGAAAGTAAAACTTTTTTTTTTTTTAAAAAGGGATACTAAGGGAGCTAAAATGTTGCACTGAAATTAATACAACTATTTAATATATTTCTAAAGCTTCTGCAGTCAGATGATGGATGAAACCAATCCTATCTGATCTGTAGGGAATCTACAAACCATTAAAATTCTCAATATCTCTCTAGAAGCTTAATCACATACTTGCCTTTGAGTCTTTATGAAATCTATAGATCTTAATCTATGTTTGTGTATACAGTAGAAGTAATCTTTGCTTTTCTTTTAATTGAATTGTATAGTATTGTGTCAATGGATTATATATACTGAATATAAAAACATCTTTATCAGATCACAATGAGGTCCTATCTCTGTGCCAGCAATATTAGATATAAATCTTTATTTTAAATTTTTATAATGGACACTGCTAGACTATCAGCAGCAGATGGTCTTCCGGACAGGGGTATGGACTCCATTTTTCATTATTCTCACTATGGGCCCCACTGGTTGGGGTTCACAAGAGTTCAAGCATACCAGACAAGTGGTATAGTACCTAGGGAATAAAAAGGTGAAATTTGCAGCTATCCAAATTCAACTTAATTTTGAGTAAGCAGACTTGTGCAGTCAGGGAACATTTTATGAATATCAAGAAAGTGCTGATATTCTGTACTCTGCCATAAAGATCCTGTCTATTCAAAATGTAGTGTTTTTTTGTGATGTAGCCAATCAGAAGACACATTCCCCCAGAGACAAATGGTGAAATTGTTATCTGCAGGCTCCTGTCCTCTTCCAGGATTGTCCCTATCACTTCTGCTTAGCTTTCTGTTGCTTTGTTGACAGATCGAATGCTCCCAAAGAAAACATCCCATCCATATTTATTGTTTATTTGTATTAACATCTATGTGTTATTCTGTGGTCCAGAGATACATTTGGAAGTAAAGCTGATATTAGAAGCATGACTTCCTAATAATTACCAGGTTGCTAGGAATTTGTGGATGGTAAATTTACCAAGTGCTAAGGTAGATATCTAAGGTCACACTAATAGCAGATTGTCAACTTGTAGGTAATTTCATTTAGTACATCCATATCAGATAGTACCAGTGGTGGGATTCAATTTTTTTACTACTGGTTCTGTGGGCGTGGCTTGGTGGGTGTGGCAGGGGAAGGATACTGTAAAATCCCCATTCCCTCCCCACCCTACTAATCTGCTTTCCAGATCCTTTCTCCTGTGCAGGGCGGCAAAAGAAGAACCCTCCCGATCAGCTGGGACTCAGGAGGCAGACTATAGATGGGGGTGGGGCCAGTCAGAAGTAGTATTTTCCGGCTCTCCGAACTACTCAAAATTTCCACTACTGGTCCTCCGGAACTGGTCAGAACCTGCTGAATAGCACGTCTGGATAGTACAGAAAAAACGATTTCATGCTACAATGCTAAATATTCATTATCCAAATTAAATCAAATATTTCTAAAGTTTTAAATAAGTGATAACACCCTTCTGCTTCCTACTGACTTAAAACATGCTGAAAACAAATCCATGAAGCTGGAAGATTCCACTGAGGAAATCTCAGCCAGATCAGTTTCTATAGCTGCATTAACATAGGAGTAGCATTAGGAAGAATATCCTAATTATTATAGAAGAAAAGATTCACATCACAAATAATAATTACATAGCTGAGCCTCTGGGCAATGTTTTTTTCCATTTTCCTGTTGGAGTATAGATGGTCATGAAACCAACTAGTGCTTACCTTGGAGTCACATTCAATGGCTTTATGACATTTTTCACAAAGGTTAGCAAAAAGGCTGTCATAGCATTTCACACAGAAAGCATTTTCTTCTTTCATGATGTATCGTTTGCCACAAAGTGAATCCTTGCAGCGAAAGCAGTTTGACTGACCAGTGGCCATTTTTAAGCCTTTTGAGGCTGCTGCAGATTGAAAGACAAGGCACATGTTGATGAAATAATATGGCTGCAAGATCAAGATTCCCAATTTTGGAAGTTCTGCCCAGTCACAATGATTCAAAACAAACAAACAAACAAACAAACCCCAAGTTCTAATACAGAGGAAGGGAACAATTTTAAATCTTCATTATTCTCATTGATGATTTTGACAGATTTAGTCTGTCTTTTTCAATCCCCCCTCCCCCCTGCTATCCTTTAAAATATAAAAATTAAACAACTTGTCAGTTTTTTAACATTAAGCAGAGGATTCTTTATGGGTGCTAAATGATCTTCAATAGGACCAACCAAGATCAATAGAAAACTGATTGGCAGATTGGTATTTGGAGAAGTAGCATGAGGCATCAGCGCCCCCCCCCCTTTATATATATATTTTCAGAAATGCGTTTCTAGAAAGATGCATTATCAGTCCATTGCAAATCTTCCTTAACCCAACACTCCCACACATACATATTTTTGGCCTGTTCAAATTGAGAAAAACAAATTTTAGATAAACATTCAAACTTTACAAAACAACAGAATCTTCAGAGGTTTGCAGGCAAGCTATTTTAGCCTCATTATTTGCCCATTGGACCATAAGAACTTTGCTAAAATTAGGGCACGGTTTCTGAGAATGAAGAAGTAAACAGGATCCAAAAGAATTCCCAGTGAAGCTGATCACAAGCACATCTGCTGGATTCATTGAATTCTATTATAATATCACTGTGCAATTCCCACCCATAGCATAGGGTCTATGATGGGCTTGAAGAAGAACTATCTGGAAAACAAAACAAGAAACTCCTTTCATATCTTTAGCATAGGTATGTAAACTGGTTCAAAGGGATGTGCTCTGGAATAGGTCTTAGAAGAAAACCAAATGAAAACCTTCATTCCTTCTTTGTAGTCTTCTACTGATACTTCTTTATTTCTATATTTTTCTCCATGCATTAAATCATGGGTCACATTCTAGTGCTGGTTAGATATTGTCTGAACTCACTTTTTTTGAAGTGCTACTTTATTTCAGTTTTAATAATTTTACCCAGCAATTTTTAACATGGTGTATGACAGTATATAACTCTTCTCATTTTGTGAGCTTCCACTTCTTTTGCAATGGCCTATTGCAGTGGTGGCTAACCTTTTGGGGCTCCCGTATCAAAAATTGTGCTCGCTTGCGCTGGCATCGCCCAGAAGGCAATGTGCATGGCCCCCCATGCCCCCTGTGCATGTGCTGTCCAATCTCATCTTAAAAACCTCCAGTTTTGGAGCACCCACCACTTCTGCAAGCAAGCCATTCCACTGGTCAATTGTTCTAACTGATACTTTTTGGGATGGGAGTACATCTGGCATGGTGTTTGCCATCTGCTTGAGAGAAAAAAAAATCTGCTTTAAATTTGATTCTCCCTGCCTGAAGTTCTGTGCTGAACTAGACTGGGAACAGGATTCAAACAACAGATATTATTGTCTAAATATATAAGTACATCCATGAGAGTTATTACTAATGCAGATTTCTCTGGTAAAAATGAACTGGGGATGGAGAGCTGAGTTTTTAATTCTATTCCTGGAGGATTTGTGGTATGACAGCGTGGGGGAGTAGAAGAGTATGACAAGGATGGAATGCTATCTCGGGCCCAAAATAGCAATAGCTTTATTTGGCATAAGCAGTGGAAAATTTCTTACCCAGTGCATTCAAAATCATTGCATTTAAGTGCTTTGCTGCATCTCCAATTGTGTCACAACTCTCCACTCTTCAAAATGTCAGAGAACACAATCCATTAAAACAAGCCACAGCGTAAACATTTGTGAAAGCCTCATATTTTCACAAATATTTTCTGCTTATTTGAGATCAAATAAGTGAGAAGAGCACCACAAATCCCAAGAACAAAGATAACTGTTGCAGTAGAAACCTTTCCAACGCTGAAATCCAATTTGTGGGGGTGGTCAGCAACTCTGGTGGAACAATTAAAGCAGGAATATTGAACTCCTATGTGAAATTTGTTTATAATAAACAAACATAAATAGGCATTGCTACCTACATTATGCTTTGCAAAGAAGTATTACAGCCTACAGAGAGAGAGTTATTTAAAGAGTACTGATTTCAACAGCTTTATTTCCAGAAATGTACTGTATGCATAGATTACAGTGGCTTGTTTTATAAATATTTAAAAGAGAACATTGGGTAGAAAATGGATCACTTACCAACTATTTTTTAATTCATCTACTGGCTATCAGAACTGTTAAAATATTCTAAATGAAAAAAAAAAGTTTGCTCTAACACATCACTCTGGTTATGAACTAAGAGTGCATAGCTCGAATCATTTAGCACAGATTTCTTGCCAGTTAATCATTTAAACAGTATCAACTTTGTCCTCTACACATTTAAAGCATGCAGAGCGAATGACAGGATAATAAACCATGCAGAAATACCCAGATTCAATGAGCAGGGTTCACATATCACTCTTAATGTATTGGTTTTGGCTTAGAATATTAGGTGAAGCCACCCCCTGTGTAGTGGTGGGTTTCAAAAATTTTTCCCACTGGTTTGGTGTGAACGTGCGCTTTGTGCGTGCACAGCATTTGTAACTCGCCTTCTGCTGCAAACTCTGTGTATAAAACAGCAGATGAGGAGCAATCCGCTCTGCTGCGTGAAGCAGCTGAGCTTGAAAACCAGGAAATATAGGTAAGAATAGAGCCGGGGAAGGTGGGTGGGCCCAGCAGCTGATCATTGGAGCGAACAGGTTCACTCATAGATGATCTTTGGAGCTACTGGTTTGGCCAAACTGGGCTGAACCGGTAGAAAACCACCACTGCCCCTGTAGTTGGTAAGTCATGATTTATGCCTGAGCATAATGTATGAACCCAACAAATGAGGTCCTAGTGAACATGGAACTATATTAACAATATAGACCTAAAAAAATTAGGGATCCTAGCTAGACAAAGGAGGATCATAGTTCGTACTCAACCTGTGAACCAAAAGTTGGCTAAAAAAGTCTTTCATTTGATTCCTGTTCTTTCTGAGGAATTCTGTAAACGAAAAAGCAAAGGAGCAAGGTATGTTCTTTCAGTCTCAATCCTTCCATCTGCTGTTTGAGACTTAGAAGCATTGATTTATCATAACTGATAAGGATTACAGTTAGATAACCCTGTGATGTAGTTTGAACACTTAAAAGCTATACGGATGCTAACTATGAAGCATTTTCTATTTTCTATTAATTGATAGTGCCATGTGTTCCATTGAAGGTGACTAAATCAGAGTTCTTTTTCCAAATGTAATATTGGTTTTGCAGAAAATAACCTTTCTTTTTGTTGCATCTTTATCAGATCCACAGTTAATAGGAGTGATGGCTCAGTGGTTAAAGACATTGAGTTTGTCAGTTGGAAAGCTGACAGGTTGGGTTTGAGACCTGACTACCACATGATGGGATGTGCTCCTATTCTTGCCCCAGCTCCTGCCCACCTAGAAGTTCGAAAGCATGCAAATACAAGTAGATAAATAGGTACCACTTTGGTGGGAAGGCAGCAGCATTCCTTGCACTTGGCATATAGTCATGCTGGCTACATGACTAAGGAAATGTCTTGGACAAAGCTGGCTCCTTCTGCTAAGAAATGGAAATGAACACCGCCCTCTAATGACTGGACAGGGGAAACCTTTGTCTTTACCTTTATCCACTAGGGATCATGAGCTGAATGACAACTACTATCCGTTAGATGTGCTTATTCTGTTTGGTTAGCTTTGTTATAACTAACATAATCCCTTAAACATACACTGGGTTTTTTTCAGACATGGATATGAATATATTCCTCATTTGAACTTTATTATACCATTTTCCTAGTCCTAAAATTTTGTCAATCTCCTTCCTGAAATTGGAAAAGACAAGTTGGCATTGGTGTGCCTAGAGTTCTTTAATGTATATAAAGATATCAGCATCAATTGAAAAGAGGCCTCTTTGAAATGTTTTGATCTTGACTCTGTATTAAAAGCAGCAAATGCCAGGTAAAACAAGGCAGAAATGACGAAAAAATGAAAAGGTGGGTGACTTAATCCAGGTTTGTTCATGGGTGCAAAACAACCCATCTGAGTGATTTAACTCCTGTTTCTTCTGCCGTCTGAAGATAAATATGAGAATGCACTACTTTGTTGAAGAGAAATTTTTTCTGCTGCATTGATTCTAACTTTTAGAAGAACATGCTGACTTTAATTTTACTAGAAGTTAAATTTTGTGTTTGAATACATCAGATAAAAAGACAGAGAACTGCTGCTGCCAACATTGCTGGACTAAAAGATTAAGCCCTATTTTCTTTGGGTCTTCAGTGTACAGATTTATTAACTGGGTGACTGCATTCATGTAGAACCAGTGTTTACATATTAAACCTACATCAGAGTACAGTTTGTCCTTGACTTGCAACCATTCATTTAGTGACCAAAGTTACAATGGTAAGTGGGAAAAAAGTGACTTATGATTGGTTCTTGTATTTGCGACTGTTACAGCGCCCCCACAATCATGTGATAAAAATTTTGGCGCTTGGCAACCAGCATGTAGCTACAATGGTTGCAACCTTCCCAAGCAAAGTCAATGGGAAAATCTGGATTTGCTTAATGGCTTCATGATTCACTTAACAACTGTGAAAAAAAGTTGTAAAGTTGGACATGACTCACCTAATAGTTGCTTTGCTTAGCAATACAAATTCTTGTCTCAACTGTGTTTGTAAGTTGAGGGCTACTTTTCACACTTTTTTGTTTCTGCTGTAAAAAGTTACATTTTAACATTATGTTTACTATGAAATAGTATAAAATATAAATGTGCCCACAGATATCATCTTGATGCCTGTCATGCTTCCTGCCACAACTGATTTGAAATTAAATTAAAGGACAGATACAAAATGTAGAATCAAAGATCAATTTTACTCAAACCATTCTGGCCTCCACACAGAATTACTTGGACTATATAAATGGCTGATGACCTCATGTAGAATACGCCCATTTCTCAGAC